ATAATTTTGTCAGTCAACTGATTCATTCATAGTTTTCAGACTGGGGCAGTAATTATACATCATTATAATTTATTCGTAGAGCTTATATCGAGATATTATAGAAATATCTTTTTTTTTTTTTTTACGTTACATTAAAGTATACAAAGCAAAAATCAAATCTATTCGCAAACTGGAAATCTACCACGTGCTTCTAGTTTACATCAGAAATTCTATTCTCAAATAAATTTGTGCATCTAATAATCGAAAGTTTTATGCACTCCATTTTGTGGAATAATCTCTCTGCGTTTAAATTACGTTTTAATAATAATTTATGAACAATGGAAAAACTTGAATCTTTTCACGAACAAGAAATCTAAATCACGTGCTTCTAATCGCCGCATCAGAAATTCTATTCTTAAATAAAGTGCATCCAATAATTATAATCATAGGTTTTATGTACTACGGTTTGTGAAATAATCTTCCTGCGTTTAAATTGCCATAATTAATGAACAAAGGAAAAACTTTAATATAATAATAATCTTGAAGCAGAATGGTTCTCAAAATTAAGCTCAAACGAGAATAAAGCCCGTATCAGACTACGGATTGGGATTGAGATTGGATTGAAATTTAATCAATCAGAATAGAGAAAACTGATCTCAAGTTTAGTAAACTTTGCTCTGATTAGTCAAATTTCCCAATCCCAATCCGTAGTCTGATACTGGCATAAAAGAGCCGAGCGGAGGCACAAGACGCCGGCGATGGATCGAGATCCTTTCTCAAACATAGGAGAAACAAAATACTCACTAAAACAATTGCGGTGACAAGCGCGACAGCGCGAGCTACTTAGCGGCTGCTCTTCGATATAGGAGTGAAAGGAGGTTCGGCTTTACAAAATCCAGCACTAAAAGAAAAACGGGAACCAAAATTTAGGCGATGTAGAAGCACCCGGCGAGGTCGTCGCCACGCGAATCGACGTGATCAGTGAGACGTAAGGCTTATAATCAAGAAACGATCATACGAACGAGACTAATGTGCTCATCATGTCGTGGCGAAACGAAAAAAAAAAAAAAAACGTGCTCAAGCTCTGCGCTAATAATTCAAAATGTAATCGAAAAAATACAATCGAGACTGTTGAATTAAGGAAAAATCGTGCGCAGGAAGCTCGCCGTAAGATGCTTGAGCGAAGTGTGCACGCGGATGACGATGGATTTCGAAAACGATCTCGCGCTTACCTTTTCTTTCCGTGAAAAAACGGGACGCGACGCGTCCCCCGAGAGCTCCAGCCGTGAAATGAACGAGAACGAACTGAACTACTGAACGAAGCTAGCACTGCTAGCCGCGGCGCGCGCGGCAGCCGCGCAGGCCGCGCTCGATAGGAAGCTCCGCAACATGGCGGATTCACATGAAGTTGTCGAGCTTGGTATTTCGACCAATCGCCGGGCTCGGCGCGTAAAGAATTTTTTTTACGGACGGAAACGAGATAACTTTCTATCGCAACGCGATAATCGATTTTTTACGATTTTATTCGGATGTCGAGAAAATTCAACGCATCTTATAATTAATTTAATTATTAATTATTAATAAATTAAACATATTAATTATAATTAATATTTAATAATTGTAATAAATTATTGAATATTAATAATAATTATTAAATTATTATAATTAGTGATTTATTCGCGAGAAATTTTGACTTTGATCAACGATTTGATTCAATCGGCGGAATTTACGTTTACCGAAAAATTTCTATTTATACAACTCTCTAATTTCATTTTTTTACTTTTTGCTTTAAACGACAAAAATTAATTACTCCATCCATCTTACTAAATATAAATGCCGAGGTATCGCTCGATAAAAGGTATTAAAATAGAATTACAAAGTCGCCGTCAGCCGTGAAAAACAAAACGTCGCATTGTGGCCTGAAAAGGAGCTGACTTCACCGCGTTTGCGCCACCAGACGCGGAGTGACCCAGTCCGATCTGTCATCTGTCCTAACCTTTACGTCAAAATTTGTCATCCGCACGGAGGAGGTATCGTTCGTCGTTGCGACAATTCGGAGTTTCGCGTTGAATAACGACGACGCCGGGGACGATGCTATCGTCGCGACGCGGCTGATCTGCACGAGCGCGAAAGTGACGGAGTGACGTCCCGAGAGGAACGAGAGGTGCCATGAAAACGTCTGCCCACCGAGTGATGACACCTGGACCCTGGACCGCCGTTTCCTACGGTGCGTATATCAGCCGAGCGTTCTAATCGCGTCTTATCGCGTCCTCGCTACCGTACATCCGTACGATTCGCCCTAGAACGCGATAACACGCGACAAACACGCCCTTGAAGGCGCTGATAACATCCCTGATACACGTACATTTTCCCTTAATTTTAAGTCGCAAGTCCGTATGTTGTCAGCTGGTAATTGTAAAGTGGGACAGAATTTAATCTGATTGCATTGTAGGAGGAGATTGAGTGATATTTGAGAGCAGCCTGTGCGTGTGTGCATTTACTCGAAACAATGATGGAGTTGAGTCATAGTCTGACCCTCAACGAGGATGCTCTTAATCAAATCCCGGAGGCTAAGCGACCGGTCTTTATCTTCGAATGGCTACGCTTCCTGGACAAGGTTCTGGTTGCCGCCCAAAAGGTATCGATTCAAAAGCCTGACGTTGGTAGCTGTCAAATTCGTGATTAAGAAAATATATGATTAAAGTTATTTGTATAATAATATTCATGATAAATTTCTAATTGCGGTAAATCTTATTCGCAGAGTGATATTAAAGGATGCCAGCAAAAGTTGGTGGAACAATTGACCAGGCACATGCAAGGAGCTCCTGGTCCACCTACTCGGCGTCTCATTGCAAGATGCCTGGCAACTTTGTTCAGCGTGGGCGATACGTTCCTGCTCTTCGATACTGTCAACAAGTGCAACGATATCTTGAGGAATAAGGACGATTCGCCAAGCTTTCTACCCACGAAACTGTGAATACTGATTATTATTAATTTCGTTGGTAATCAATAATGCTGCATATATGTGTATACATATATACGTGTCGTTTTTCTAGAGCTGCCATTTGCTGTGTGGGATGCATGTACGAGAAACTGGGAAGAATGATGGGCAGGTCATACGAGGAGACTGTACAGATTCTGATAAAGTCCTTACGTTCGGCGGAATCACAGACGCGGATAGAAATTATGCATACGTTAGAAAAGGTGATGAATTGATCTTATTAAAATTTTTTAAACTATTTAGATAAAATATGATTATAACGTATATTTTTGTTATAATAAGGTGTGCGCTGGAATGGGATCCGCGATAACCAACGTGCATAAGGAGATATATAAAGTTTCGAGGCATTATCTAACCGACAGAGTGATGGCAGTAAGATGTGCCGCTGCTAAGGTATTTTATATTTACGAAAGAAATCGATCATGTGTCCTATTTTTTTAATTAACGACAATTCACTTTTGTGTATACAGTGTTTGTTGGAGATGTTAAATCACGCTCCGTTTTTGTATACGACCGAAATTGAAAGCGTCGCAACATTGTGCTTCCGGGCGTTCGAGGGTTCAAATTACGAAGTGAGATGCTCCGTCGCTAAATTACTAGGCACTTTGGTGGCAATGACACAGCTTCCTTCACCCAAGATAAAAAATCCTACAGGTATACAAGCGAAAATACATTATGAAACTATACATCCAAACCTTATTCTAAAGCGTATATTCTGTGCTTTTAGTTGCACACAATAAAGGTGCTAAACAAGCATCGCTTGAAGAGGTGTTAAATATCTTGATGTCTGGATTTTTAAGAGGTGGCGTCGGCTTCTTAAAAGGAACCGGCGAGATAATAAAAGGAAGCTCCAGCATAAATAGAGAAGTGCGAGTTGGTGTAACACATGTAAGTGATCACAGACGTATAACTATACTCAGCATGCAAATTTACATGTGATTATGCAACAAAATATTCGTATTATTTTTTAAGAAAGCAAAGCGTTTTTCTTATCAAGTCAAAAAAGCTTTCAATTTGATTAAAGGGTATATTTTTCATGAAAAAATACCTTACAAACATTTGATGATAACTATTACAGGCATACGTGGTGTTCGTTCAAATGTTAGGCGGTACTTGGCTGGAACGAAATATCGGCACGTTAATTGCACACGTTTTAGACCTGGTTACAAATCCGAAAGCCGCTAGCTCGCACGTTGAGGCGGTATACTCGCGCAAATGCGTGAATTTCATATTACGCGGTACAATCGGCAAATTGTTAGGGGAAGGCGCTCAGGCAGCTGCTTGCAAAGAAATAGCGCATATCATCTTGAAGCAGATGAATTCCATCGGTAAGAATAATGTTTCAAGCGTCAATATTTAATATATACTTGTCCGTAATCTCGATGCGTTCTTACCAGATTTCAGTCCAGAAAACGCCAAAGATTGCAATCAGGAAACATTATTCAGCCAGCATTTATTAGTGTGTGCGCTACAAGAAATGGGAAATCTGATATTGGGATTAGGTACCACAGCCACGAATTTGTTATCCGATCAATCTCTAAGTACGTATTCGCGCATTTGAAACATGTTTTGTTTCTTTAATATAGAAACAGTCGGTTTGAACGATACAATTATTTATCGCAGGTCTAATCGATGCCATAATGGCCGTCCTGGTGCATCCGTGTCAAGCGGCTAGACTAGCGGCTTCCTGGTGCTTACGATGCATATGCGTGGCAGTGCCGAGTCAAATAACACCTCTGATCGACCGTTGCGTCGACGGGATTGAGAATATGCGTAGCTCACCGGAAGCCATAGCCGGTTACAGCAGTGCTCTTGCCGCGGTGCTAGGAAGCGTTCGTCTGTCACCTTTGGGAGTCCCTCATACTAAGGGAAAGGTGTATATGCTTTTTAAATTATACTTTAAACTATATTTTAAGCTATATTACCCTTCTTTATCATACCAATCATGCGGAATTAATTTATCAAGCTTTCGATTTTCAGATAATTTTCAATACAGCGGAAGAACTTCTGAGAAGCGCAAGTCAGAACAGTCGTTTATCTTTAAATCGCACGCACGCAGGATGGCTCTTGATAGGAGCGATAATGACTTTAGGTATAAATATCTTAACGATTTATTTCACGATGAATATTAATTTAAGAGTGAGCCACACGTGCATGTGTAATTTATATGTATACAGGTACGGCAGTAGTGAAGGGTTTATTACCGAGAATGTTGCTTCTATGGAGAAACTCCTTCCCACGCTCGAACAAGGAACTCGAGAGTGAAAAAGCTCGCGGCGACGCTTTCACGTGGCAAGTGACTTTGGAGGGACGTGCCGGCGCATTGTCCGCTATGTATAGCTTCTTGCTGCACTGCCCGGAACTTTTAAATGACGACATTACACGGCGATTACTCACACCTATCGAATCCGCTCTGGCAATGCTGACGAAGTATTAAATATTGATATATTATTTTTATACAATATGACAAAAAACATATTTGAAGTACCGATTCTGCAACTTGGATATATCTCTTTTTCAGTTTGTCTCCTGTTTTGAAGAATTATGGTCAACAATTGAAAGCTCCTGCGGCCATGGTTCGTTTGCGCTTATACGAAACGTTATTGCTGCTACCACCACAAATGTTTGAAGGTAAAATCTATGTACTATGAATATAAACAATATAAAATCTACCATTTATATTTTACTCCTCGGTTTTCAATTTGTTGCCTATCTGATCGGTGATATCGCACAGGTTCTTACACGCATCTTCTGAGAATGTTGGTATCGGAGTTCACACTTACGGATAATCCTGGGAACACAACTACTTCTTTATTGAGTGTAGTTTGCCACGCTAACGATTCGGTAATTCTTGGTACATGGCTACAGGAGACTGATCATCGTACAATAGAAGATCAGGTGAGTTAATTTCTGTATATATCGCAATATGGTTTTTATTCTCGTAAATAACATCTTCGTGAGTTTTCAGTGAGTGAGTCATTGTTTATTTGATCTCGTTTGAAAACTTATGAAAGTATTATCGCTTTAATAAAACTGATTTTTTACTAATTCGGCGGACTAATTCTAATTTTGAGTGTTTTATGTACAACGCACATACTCTTTCTAATATTCAATAATAAAAGATTGTGATTTAATAACTCAAACACGTGTTTTGAAATCTTTGTATATATAACTTGTTTTATACTTGCGCAACTCATGTTTTATATAATATCTAGCTAATTTCAAATAGAAAGAATAATATATATTCTTGCAATTTTAATTTATAAAATGTAAATTTTGCGTTAACTTGCAAATATCCTCGTGTTTAGATGGAACCAAACAGAAGGGCAGATTTGGAACATGTGAGTAAGGTGTTCTGTAAAGTGTGCCTTACGTTTTTTTATTTTGTTTTTTCTATTTATGTTTGTATATATAAAACTACTTATAAAAATTATTATAGATTTTTTATGTGCATCTCATTTTGATGTTATTATATTATTCTATTTTATTATGTTATTAGTTAGTATATATACATGTACCATTTTATGTTTTTAATGTGCTTATTTGGAATACATCGGATACCTTATATATTGCACATAGTAGTTATTATTTAATGTTTTACTCACGTCAGTTTAAGACAATCTATATTTTATTTGTTTTAAAATATATATTTATCTGTATTAATTATTTTTATTTTTTTTAGGTTTTATATGATACAGCTTTACTTTTTTTCCGATCTCAAACTCGTACTTTATTATATTTCACAATCTTTTTTTCAGCTCCAACCAAATAGTGCTGCGGGATCTGGGGCATTGGAACATAATACATGCTGCCTTTATAGACCAATGCCACACGTAAGTTTAAGTAACCATTCCATATAAATTTTATAATATAAATTGCTGTGAATTATAAACATACGGATAAAATTATAATACAAATTTATTGCATATGATTACAGTTTGAAATGATCCCTGGTCCTTTGCCGTTGGGTGTAGCGGTGATTGACTTATCGGTCGCATTATTCGGCCAGATATTCCCACGTGTAGCAAACAAGCACAGACTGCAGATGTTGGATCACTTCAGCGAGTGCATAAAGCACACCAAGTCCGGAAGGCAGGAAGCAATACAAATGAATGTGTTCACGGCAGTTTTGAGCGGCTTGAAGGGCCTCAATGAGGCGAAAACAGGCTTCGGGCAGGAAGACGTCAAGAAATCCGCCACTAATCTTATCATCAGCACGCTGGTCAGCAGCAACCCTATTCTACGATGGGCGGCGGGAGAAGCGGTTGGTAGAATGGCTCAGGTGATCTCCGATCCCAAGTTCACCGCGGAATTGGCGCAAACCAGTTTTGATCGTTTGAAATCTGCTCGCGACGTCGCCAGCAGAACCGGTCACTCGTTGGCGTTAGGCTGCCTTCATAAATATGTCGGCGGAATGGGCTCTAGCCAGCATCTCAACACTAGCGTTAGCATCCTGCTCGCACTCGCTCAGGATAATTCGTCTCCCGTAGTGCAAGTAAGATATTGCCATGCTGTCACGTTTTATTTGTCTTCGTATCAACTTTGACAAAAAATTATAAAATACATTTTTTTAAGGTTTGGGCGCTGCACGCTCTGGCTCTGATAGCTGATTCCGGTGGACCAATGTTCAGAGGCTATGTTGAGCCTACGTTATCCTTAGCCTTGACCCTTCTTCTAAATGTTCCTCACTCTTACATCGACGTACATCAATGTATCGGAAAGGTTTTATCGGCGCTTATCACGACGATAGGGCCAGAGTTACAAGGTAGATATATAACATTTAACTGATTATAGGGTAATTGCGAAGATGGAGTATGGACTATTGTTTTTACGGAAAATAACTCGTTGAACAATTTATTTTACAGGCAACACGACAACAATTTGCATGGCACGGTCGTCATTTTTGTGCGCGTGTGCCATTATGCAGGATCATCAGGACCCACTCGTTCAAGCTGAAGCGACCGGCTGCCTTCAACAGTTACATCTCTTTGCACCCAGACACGTCAATTTGTCTTCTCTCGTTCCTACATTATGCGTAAGGCCTTTTTAAGCATTTAAAGATTCATTTATCATAAAATCTTTATTAATTTATTTGATTATTTGATTATTTTTTTATAGCGTACCCTATCGAGCAATCACTTGCTTCTGCGTAAAGCTGCGATATCCTGTCTTCGGCAACTCGCTCAGCGCGAAGCGAAAGAAGTATGCGAGCATGCAATGACCCTGGCTAATGAAAGCAGAGACACTAACGTGGTAGAAGGCCTCGTTATTACCGAGACCGGTCTTCCGGGCGTGTTATTTAGTATGCTGGATACAGAAACTGATAGTAAATTAATCAAAGATATTCACGATACTTTAACGAGCATGCTGCACATATTAGCGGCCGACAATCTGTCTCAATGGTTGTCACTGTGCAAAGACGTTCTCACGATAGCTTCAGGTAATAGTCAAGTTCTTCTAATTAATCATTGATGAAACATTTTTTGGGAAGTATTTTGCAAAAATATTTTGCTTTATTACGTAGAATCGAGTACGATCGAAGAAGGCAACGCGGCGAATGCAGAGGATAGTGCCGCTGATAACGAATCAGCGGATGCAGAGGGTGACGACGACCAGGCTGAGTTCCACGCCGATGAGTCTACTAAACAGCGACCGTCTATCACACCGAGGTGGCCAACGAGAGTCTTCGCGGCGCAATGCGTACGACGCATTGTCGCGGCTTGTATGAGTGACAAGCAGGCGCACTTTGATCTCGCCTTGGCTAAAGAAATGCAACAATCTAAGGGAAAAGGTACGATTGATAAAGCTAACGTTGTAATCGTCTCTGTCATTAGGCTTTCCTTGATTTTTAATACTCGTTCTTATGGGGGTTTTACAGGAGATTTTCTGGTATTACATTTATCGGACTTGGTGCGCATGGCATTCATGGCCGCGACGAGTGATTGCGATCCATTGCGGCTCGAAGGTCTCAAAACCTTGCAAGAGATCATTGATAAATTCGCCAAAGTTCCCGAACCGGAGTTTCCCGGACACTTATTGCTGGAGCAGTTTCAAGCACAAGTGTGTCTCAGTTCACTCTACATTTTTTACAATTGTATTTAATGATTGTTATATTTTATATTAAATATGAATTTGTTTAAAGGTTGGAGCTGCTTTAAGACCAGCATTTTCCGCGGAAACACCGTCGCACGTTACAGCTGCAGCCTGCGAGGCTTGCAGCGCATGGATTGGCAGCGGTGTTGCTAGGGATCTCAATGATCTACGAAGAGTGCATCAGTTACTCGTGTCATCTCTGGAAAAATTGAGAGAAGGTAAAACTCGGCCGCAGTTGTACAATGAGAGCTTGTCGACGCTGGAGAGATTGGCGATCTTAAAAGCATGGGCAGAGGTATATAAAAAAATATTCTTTTTCATATTCAATATAGAAATAGTATAAGCAAACATGAGGTATCTGAGCAAATTTCATTGTTGAGCATTGTGAAAAAAAATTAAATTGATTAATTTGATTTTTCTTAACAGGTGTATGTAGTTGCGATGATTAGAGATGGATCTGCATTGAATAGCAAAGATACGACCAATCGAAACGCGAATCAAGTCGACGAAACCAACGAAGAGGATTTTGGGGAATTTGAGTTTCAGAGCGAAAGTTTGCTGAGTCTCGTTCAGCCGGAGCTTCTGAGTCTGAGCCAACATTGGCTATCTGCTTTAAGAGATCATGCATTGCTCTCTTTGCCACCAGGTATTATTGAATATAATGAAATCTAACGATGTAAAACTATGTAATTAATTATGTGTTAACATTAATGACGATAATTAAAACTATCATTATGACTATCTCCCCAGAATTCTCCAGTCAGTTGCCGCATGACGGTGGTGCCTTTTATACGACAGACACGATGGAATCCGCGCGTCCACACTACGTAGAATCATGGGCGCCGATTCTCCACGCCGCGACCCTCTGGCTCAATGCGAGAGGATTCGAAATGGAAGACAGCAACCAGGATAAGGCGACGACGAATCTTGCTAATAATAATAATCATAACAATAATAATAACAACGATGAAGCTACTGCTTGTAAAACTAACACGAATGTTGAACGTTTTCACTTGTTATTTGGTAAGTATCTAATATATAAAACATTAACTTGTGTGTTTACGTGTGTATATCAACATGATTTACTTTATATGATTATGCAACATTTATCTTTTATTATAATTATTTGCAGGTATATGCATGGAAGCTTTGTGCAGCCCTCGCTCTTCCGAATCCCCGCAAAATATGAAGACATGCTTAAATGCGTTGTACACGCTACTCGATTCAACATGGGCGCGTAAGGTCTTTATCACGGATCGTTCCTTGCCTATCGAATTGTGTAACGTTCTTCATAGGTACTTTCACACATACGAAAATACACATTCTATTTCTCTATCGCGTAATATTAATATCGACATGTTTGTTGCTTTAAAGATTGCTTTTAACACGAGAGAGTTATGTCATCCAAATGATAGTGATGGAAGTGCTGAAGCAAGTGATGAAAGCAGCGCAGGAAGATCTTGCTGCAAGAAAAAAATTGAAACTCAAAGGTACGCGGACTCCGAAATTATTCTCGATAAATTTGATAAAAATAATACATATCATACATACATAAAAACATGTGTATTTTTTTGTTTAGATAATGCATCGGCGCATCAAGAAAACACTGAAACGTCAGAACTGGATCTGCTGGGCGAGGGCGAAGAAAGCGGCGAGCTTACGCCAGGCTCATCATTAGTGTTTGCTGTCCTGGAGGTATGCCTGTGTCTCTTGGTGCGACAGATACCAGCGTTGAATCCGAATCCCGGCGGTGCCACTGCCATATTATCTCAGAAAGGATACGTACCGTCCGAAAAGAGTGGCAAGCTGATCGCATCATCCCTCAATATAATGGAATCTCTCCCTACATTATGCTCTCCGCAAGGTACCCTCGCAAAGCGTTTATATAATTAACATTGTTAATCAACAGTTTTACAGCAATTTATCCTGTTTCTTAAGGCGCAGTAGCAATTCTCCCGACGCTGCTGTATTTGGCAACGGGCGTGATACGCGAAACCGCGGTGCGTACGGACAACGATAGCACGAAAGCCGGTTCGGAAACGCCGGTTCACGCTGCGTTACACTGCGTCAAGAGTCTCATCAGTAACAAATACGCCCGAGATCACAGGAGTCAAGAGCAATGGACGGGATTACTGCGAAGCGCGCTTGCCAAGATTATAGATCTGGCCAAAACAGGTATGTTAATTTTATCTTTTATGGAGGAGGAACATTAAACTATAAACGCATACCTCTTATTTATAAATTATCAGAAATCAAAATGAAATATATGTCGTGCACGCGTTTCTTGTGTCGAAATATAAAATATCTATCATAAGAATCAAAAAAATTAACATATATATATATATACACACATATATATATATTTTACTTATTTTTATTTTGCCTACTTTGCTTTTACAGGCAGTGACGAAACTAAGATGGATGAGGTGGCAATGATGCTAGGTATCGCAGTATTCGTGCTCCACGCGTCGCCGGATGTGGTGAGCGCTCCGAATCTACAATTTCCATGCATCAATCACTTTCGTCACGCGTTCCAGTCTGAAAATTTAACGGTGAGCTAATGACATGCGAAGAAAATGTTATTCCTAATTGTTGATCTTAAAAATAATCGAATAATCTTGCATCTAGGTGAGGCTGAAATGCGTGCAAACGTTAAGAACGATATTTCTGCATCCGGAACGTAATGTAAGTACGCCATACATCCATGCGCTCGCGCCACGACTGGTAGAATACCTGTACAGCGACAAGAGCAAGCAGGTGACAAACGACATGGAATTGACTTTTACGCTGGAGTGCGTCAGCACAGTGGAAGCCCTCATAGGTCTCGCCGATCTCTCTAATCGTAAGTCATTCTAATTGAACTTATATAAGAAACTTTTACTACTGAATTATATATATATATATATATATATATTTAATTCGTGAAATGTTAATACAATATGTGTTACACGCTTACAGGAGATTTGTTACAAGGTGTGTGGAAAGGTGTGCGGTCTTCATAATCTAATTTTCTAATGCGCCAATCAATTACTAATCATTTACTGTACATTTTTTGAGTTTAACATACACGTTTCATAAAATCACCAGGTATTCAAATGCTGACTCTACTTGTGCCGATTTTGATCAATTACTTGCTGGAAGGGGACGAGCTCCAACACGCTACTAAGTATCAAGCGAGCCTCCATCAACAGAGTTTTCAGTGGCTCAATAAGATCGGGCCGAAATATCCGCAGGTACAATATTTCGAAAATATCTTCCGAATGACACGAGTATATCCAATCATTGTTTATGTCACTAGGAATTTAAGACACTGATGTCGCAGTCTACCGAGCTGAAAATTAAATTGGAGAACGCCGTAAGGACCAGCCATCAGCAGGCGCAGCGGCACATCCGGCCGGTTGATCCCGTGAAACCGCAGATCAAGATATCCGCGCCGTCGATCAAATTAAAAACCGATTTCTCCAACTTCAACTAAAAGGGGGATCGTATCTGTTGCAGATAAGAAATAAAAGATAATTTATTAAAACCTCGTAAGACTAACGTAAATAACGATATTAGCAATTTTGTCGTAGACCCGATCGTGTTAATGCGATTTCGACCCAACAATTATCAATTATCAGGCAAAATCGAATTACTGTTTACAACTTCTTAGCATCGTGATAATTATAAAGTGATATTTCGCCGTTAGAAAATCGTACTCGACTGTACTTAGAAATAAAAGGATTAGAAATTAGACGACGGATATAAAAAGAGATAGGACAAAGGTGACGTGGATGGAAAAATGATGTCGGACGATCAATTTAATCGCTACTATAAAATGATACTTATATCTTACTTCTCTTCATCCCACTTTAACTTCTTCATTGCCAAGTACAATAACGTTCCTGATTTTCCTATTATGCTTTTCAAAGTGCAAAAAGATAACTTTATATCAGACTTTCAAATTGTATATATACATATGTAGAATTTAGCGTAGAGTTTACAACATAGAGATTATTAATTTATTCAATGATGCAAATAAAGATGTTGATATACATATATTCTCACCTCACTATTTCGATGGATTATAAAAGATAACAAGCAACAATTTAATTTCCATGAGAGGTGTGGTGTTAAAAATTAAATGACTGCGAATATATGCACAAAATAAGTTATATAGATAATATAATATAGATATTTCCGTGCTCATTCGGATCATTAATCCACGATTCAGAAGTTTTGCTTTGAAATAATTTTTAATATAACTAACCGTGTAATCGATAGAATTATTTATTAATAAATTATAATTATGGGTTTCCTTGGGAAAACATTTGCCATAAAACGTACGATTAAAGATCAATCTGAAGTATAGACTGTTTTAATCAAGAACATATTTAACGTTCTTCTGACAGGAAGACTGATAACCCGCTACGTTTTTATTTAACGATTTTTAATACACAGATGCAGGCAGAGAAGAAATATGTACATGTATTAGTTTTGCGTAACTAGAGTGAGGATAGTAATGGGGTAGCGATTCTATCGAACGAATGTCTGATGTAACATATCGAATTATACCGAGCTTTTTTTGTGATATCAGAAACTTTGTAATGATTTTTTTTCTAGACTGCAATAAGATGCACGAGAAGCGCCTTCGGTAAATTAATACCGTATAATGCTGGGCATTACAGCGAAACGATTTGCAAAATTTAACAATTTTTTTGTATTTGATCTTTAAACGCGCTAGATTGTAGCCCGACGTAAACGAAAGAGAAGAATGAACTGCGTAACATAAATGTATGTGTATGTAAATTGAAATTAGAAGCCATAATTCAGGAAGCGAACAATATCTTCCTTTGAATTTGACATTGATCGTACTGTGTTGCGTTTTCGTCTTAGAAAAATCACAATAGACGAGCACGTAGATTAGATACAAACGTTTAGAAATTTAGATTGCTATTGTTGCAGCACGGATGTTCTTATATGGATTATAAACTTTATCGCGATGTCGCGATTTCGTAATCGCGCAACGGTGTCACCGAAAAAAAGATGTAGGTAGAAAGAATCGACGGGAATTACAATTAATAATTTATTATTATTAATTGTGAAATTGAATTCCTGAAGATTTCCTCTTTTTTACCGGAGAGATTTAGGTTCGCAAAATACAAAACTATCTTTCCATTTCCAACTTCCATTTGAAGTTCGGCGTAGCGAGTCTCGCGATGTCTGTACATAATTGAGTTTGAATTGCAATTGCGGTAGATCTGACGTAGCGCCGCGAATAAATTTTGTGAAAGTAAACCAGGACGAATTATTATAAATGTGAAATGGATTATGTGCTCGATAGAGATGTTCTACTATTTTTGTATGATTATTTTAGGGACCCATTGAGATTGTTTGTAAACTTTTAATTGCGTGCCGAAGAGAGCACGGCCATTTATACGACATATATAGTGTTATTGTATCTGATCCACCGAACTTCCATGTATATTTAAGTCGCGTTCTGATTGGAATCCTCTCCGATGAATATGGTACAATTATACATAACGTTGTATTACATAACTGCTGCAGTTTCGACGAAAATAAAAATAACTGATATTAGATAAGTTAACTTAACCGTATTCTATTGCCTTTTAAGGCCCAGTTCAACAGTGGCCAGTTAGCTTAACTAGTAGTTAACTCTCACTCTCTGTCTCTATCTAACCTTTGAGTTAAAAAGAGACAGAGAGTGAGAGTTAACTACTAGTTAAGCTAACTGGCCACTGTTGAACTGGGCCTAAGTGATAAGTATACAAACCTTTATATACATATATATATATTTAGCGCTTATCTCGCAGAATATCGTTGATTAGATATGATAATTCAAACTGTTCCCGAGCCGGACAACTGGTACTGATAATCTTCGTCAGACTGGTTCCCCCTCTTCTTCATAAGAGGGATAAGAGGGAAAGTAAACCTACCGTGTGCGTGCACGCGCGTTTCAAACGGCTCGTGTGTGAATATAAAGACGATCGTAGTAGAGAACATGTTCAAACTGTTCAAAGTAGTGCAGCGCGAGCTGTCGTGGGGTCGGCATCACTTCAACGCGACCGTAATTGCTCGTCCCTTTCGCGACATTAACGACGTTACAGCAACGAGATTGAACACAAGGAGCCCTTGGACCCGAAAGTTCTCGACGCATTTACGCGAGATGGTGAAGGCGAAAAAGTATGTGGTGGTGAGTCATTTCGTGAACGAAGCGAAACCGACGGATTTAAAACTGGTGGAAGAAGAGCTGCCGCCGTTGAAGAATGGAGGTAAGAGGAATTACGTAATTGTCACAACATTGTGCGAATATGTGTCCGTGAGCGTGTCATCGAGTGTGTTATTATAAGCGTGACTGGCATGCAAGTGTGATTATCCTATTACGCTTTCTGTATCTCTGCACGAACATTCTTCAAGAAAAAAATGAATTACAAAGAAACTTTCGTTTGTCTGACGATTATACATATACATATTATAGTTAATATTAAACATTTTTATATTATAATGAAAATTTATTAATTTAATTACGAGATCGAGAGTTTTTAATCTTTACTATTGTGTGAGATTGTACAGTTATAAAAATTCGATAAATCTTTTATATTATACTTTTCATCAATTTATCTGTTAGTTTATATGACTGTGTTGTCGGTAGGAGAGATATCTAATATTTATATAAAAAATATATATATATACGACATTCCGAGTAAGCGAGGCAAATAAGCACGATGACGAATCACATTTCGCACAATAATCGATCGTATAATGATGTTACTGCGATAAGAACTTAGAAGTTAGAATAATATTGAATAGTATTGAATATTTCATCGAACAAGCGCGTTAATTTAATATAGCCCAAGTAATTTATGCATATGTTTTGTTTGAGGCGCATCGGCAAGATATAACTTTCATAAATATTGATATAGTATTAATTTTTTGATAAACGAATTATTTCGTTCGGTAATGGATTGTAAGACTGTCAGCGAATTGCTCGACTTTCGTCTTCTCTTTACATTTTCTGCCGTAATATATAACTTTCTGGACTGTGGATTATCTATACAAAATATACAAATAATTCTCAAGTGCAAGTAATCATAAATTTAAATTGGTTTACATTAAGTTGTTATTTAATTTCGAAGTGTAATTAAGGTCGATTAATTCTCATTAGCGGTCAAGTCACGGTCCGACAAAAAATTGTTGCCATTAAATTCAATGCTTTTTCGAGTTTGCATTAAATTTAATGGCAACGAATTTTTATCGGATCGTGACTGGTGACTTGATCGATAGTGAGAACTGACCTTTAATGCCATATGCACTATCACAGAACATAGATAAGGAAGAATGAGACAATTTAGCATTTAAAAAATGAAGACGATAGCAAAATGGTACTTATGTCATTCAAAATATATAATTCTATTTTTACTTTGAGATATAAGTCAGTAATAATATTAATTATTAAATAACTAACTTAATTATTAATATATTTTTAAATAATAATAATATAATAATAACAATAAATACTTTACCAATATTATAATAGTTAAATTGAGATCAGTACTCGATCTATTCTCTTAATTATTGATATCAAATTAATTTTATTAACCGTAATAAATTATATCTTGATAAAATCTTTTTTTTTATTCAGAATATCTCGTGGAAGCGGAATACTTTTCTGTGGACCCATACATGAGACCGTACGTGCAAAGATTCCCGCTCGGGATCACGATGATCGGCGGTCAGATCGCCAAGATCATACAATCTAAGAACCCGGATTTTCCGGTCGGCAAGAAGATCGTCGCAAGCCTGGGTTGGAGAACTCACACGATAGTAAATCCGAATGTCGTCGATGATACGGCGTTACAGCAGCCGTACATTTTGCCGGACATAGGCGATCTGCCGGCGTCCCTTGGCCTAGGCGTGCTGGGAATGCCGGGGTACACAATTTTCGCAAACATGTTTACACGAATATCCGCCTTGTATAAATGACATGCACTTGCTTATCGTCTTGCTTATCGTCACATAAAAACATAAAAGACGTTTCTAAGTTATTTATATGCACTTGAACTTCGAGCTCTGTTTAAATTATGTAAATCGGTGCCAGTATTAATAAATAAGAATTACTGTTCGAGATAAAAATTAATTTTTTTTTATGAGACATTTCCAATATCAATAACAAGAAGAAAAAAAAACATACGTACAGTAAATTATATTATTTACACGGAAATCTCTCTTTGCAGCAACACGGCATATTTCGGCTTGATGGAAATATGCAAACCTAAGCCCGGCGAAACAATCGTCATCACCGGAGCCGCAGGTGCGGTCGGCTCGCACGTAGGCCAGATCGCCAAGAATCTGGGCCTGACTGTCATCGGTATATGCGGCTCCGACGAGAAGTGCAAGTGGCTCACCGAGGAATTGGGTTTCGATTCCGCCATCAATTACAAAACCATGCCGATCGCGGCCAGCATACGCAAAGCCGCCCCGCACGGCGTGGATTGCTACTTCGATAACGTACGCCTTGATAAGTTATCGCGTTTTATTTCGCTCAATTAAATACGTGCATAGATCATCGCTTTTCAACCTTCATCTACTTCAATAACTCCTTGACAAAATTTTTCTCAGCGAAAACGTCAAAGATCATCGTTTGCTGTAACTTTTAAAATTATCATGCTACAATCTGTCAAAGTCTGATGTTTCGTAATAATTTGTTAACAGTGGAACTATTAACAAATTATTACGATTAGTTTTTACTATTTAAATATACTATACATATATATTTTTGAAAAGAGGCAAATCAATCGATTTAATCATTGTGATGAAAGTCATATAGAAGATCTCAGAAAATGTACATATTTTTTTTTAATATAAACTTGAGTGGTTTTTTTTAAATTACAGTTGTTTAAAATTATTTTAACTTTTCAATTTAATTACAGTTATTTTAACTGCATTGGTAGCTTTAGTGTTAAAATATCATTTTAGAACCAATTGAAAGAAACTATACCTTCTCTCCTGTGATTAGCATTGAGCCGAAACTTTGTTAATTAACTTTGCAGGTTGGCGGAGAGATTTCTAGCACAGTCATGTACCAGATGAGGCAATTCGGCCGGGTAGCCGTGTGCGGCAGCATCTCGAGCTACGACGCGGACGCCTCGTCCTTGCCCAAGTGCGGGATCCTGCAACCCACGATAGTGTTCAACCAATTGAAGATTGAGGGTTTCGTTGTTACACGCTGGAATGATCGTTGGAACGAGGGAATCATGCAGAACTTGCGTTTGATACGCGAGGGCAAGCTCCACTACCGCGAGACCGTGACAAAAGGCTTCGAGAACATGTTCGATGCGTTCATGGGCATGTTGCGCGGCGAGAACATCGGAAAAGCGATCGTCCAAGCGTAGACATCAACGTCGCGATCGTCGTTGGTGATCGCTAATACTTCTTATATATATTCCCGTTCGCTCGTAATTCCATAACTGCATTTGTTAATATTGATCAAGCGTTTAGACATTTAAAAGGCCAGAATTAATTAACATATATATAATTATCAAGCATTTGTTTTCAAAAATAAATTATATCTAGTAGAAAAATAGCCAGTTCTTTTTACTTGTCAAGCAATTTGTAGTATCTTTGGATTTTACAATAAAAGAAACCAAGACTATAAAAAATTATATATATATCAATTATATATATCATTATAATTGACATCTAGATAATTTTTTATATTGTGTAACGTGTGATAAAATACAAATTTTGTTCAATAAAGAATATTTTATAAAATCTTTGTGCTTTTTTTTTCCGTGAAAAAAATTCCTATTACCCTATAAAATGACACTAATAATAAATTATTATATAAACTTGTTATTATTTTGTTAATTCTTCGATCATTATTTCATAAAATAGAAAATTAATTTTGAAAAACAACTTTATAAACATCTTTTATATTTTAGCAATGTTTTTCCTCTCTACACTTATATGTAATAAATAAGAAAGTTATTACATATAATTAGACTTCAATTAAATAATGTAATATTACATAATATTACGTGTAGCTATATGTACTCAGGATTTATATAATTTAAATTTTTGACATAATTATTCTATATGTATATATGTATAATTTTAACATTATATTTTCAAATTATAATCCCTCCGCGGTGTCTCTACCCGAACTTCTATGTCAATGTATTTGACATTACCTATTCATATATCCTTTTTACCGAACGCGTCATATATTGTTTCATTTTTTAGTCGCGACCGCGATTACCCGAGATTAGAGAAATATATTAAAAATTTTAATAGTTTAAAAAAATTTTGCGCGTTTAATATACGTTTAATATCTCGTGTTAAAAAGTTATCAAAGTTATAGATTCGGTATGGATTCGTTCATGGATTTTCTGTCGCGCGCGTATGTTACTTACTTGACGATATTTTTTGAAAATCGCATTGGTTCTCGCGCGGCTTTTCGGACCTTTTTTCTTCTCGTCGATCGCACTTTTAAAGCCCCTTGCACAATAGGCGATAGCGATAGCGATAGCGACAGCGACAAGGTTGCCGCACTGATCTATAGATCAGTGCGTAGAAGTTATCTCTTTTTATCAAGTAATCAAGCAAGCGAAAACAAATAACGTTGAAACGATGACCGAGTCATTAAAAATTATTTTGTATATTTTATAATCAAAAAGAAATGCAAAATGTATCTACGACTGCAATTAAATGTTCATTTCTTTCTAGAAATATGAAAGATTGATTTGAACCAAGTCAATTTTAATAAAAATTTATGGCGACAACCCTCGATAAAATTTAAGCAAACAATCTATTTTTTAGTTTTGACACGCAAAGATTTTTATTTATTTTTATTTATTTTTAATAATTTATTCAAGAGTCTTCTCTGTTGCACACTTTCATTTCACTCTCTTTCTTTATTTTTCACCTATGTTATTTTACATGTATATATCTTTTTATCTTCTTTTGGAACGATTTAAAGAATACGAGATATATTATATAATGCCGCATCTTTCGTTTATTCTTAATAAATACAATAATCATCAGAGATAAACTTATATCTCTGCGTATAATGGCTTCCAGCTTTTATTTACAATCGTAATCCCCCTTATACAACGCGCTACGGTTCGCGCAATGTACGTTGATACGTAGACTAGATCCAGGCTACGATGTGAAGTCAATAGGGCCGCGTAAATCATATACGCGTTTAGCGGGGAGCATAAACGTGTCTGTCCGCGAAATGTATTATCTCAGTAAACTTTGAAAGAAGACAGGCACGTTTAGTGCTAAACGCAATTAGGATATAGACTAACAAGTGTGATGATTCGCTTATTCTCCATAGAAATTTAAAAGTTGATAGGTTTGCCGAAGTAGGCTGCCAGATGAGCTTCTCTGAGCGCTTCGGCGCACGTCTGAAAGAAAGAAGAGGAAATGCGTGTCATAAAACATGCCCGATAAAATAATTTATTTAAATTTCAGTGAGACCTTAACATTCGAATATACTAAGTGATATGACTTAAATGATTAAAGATTATTTTTAATCTGTTCTTTCTTTTTTGCATAAAATTTCTAGACGTAGAGAATTAATCGTGGAAAGATGTTATGTGCAAAATGAAGCTGCTTAGTATAAAATTGACGTTAATAAATACTTACTGGATGTGCGTGGCATACGCGGGCAACGTCTTCCGCGCTGGCGCCATACTCCATCGCGAGAACCGCCTCGTTGATGAGCTCTCCGGCAGCCGGTCCGATCATGTGCACGCCCAGGATCTTGTCCGTGTTGCTGTCGGCGAGTACCTTCGCGAAGCCGTCCGTCTCGAGATTCGTCTTCGCTCGGGAGTTCGCCATGAACGGAAACTTGCCGACCTTGTAGTCGATGCCCTCCTTCTTCAGATCTTCCTCCGTCTTGCCGACCCAACCCACTTCCGGATGCGTGTATATCACGCTCGGCACGCAGTTGTAGTCTATGTGAACCGCGCCTGCATCGCAAGATAATCCACATTTAATCAGATTGAGTAAAAAAAAAAGAAGCAAGTTCATATTTGTATCTGTAGCACTAAAATGAGATGATGAGTCGTATTTAAATTACGATTGACACTTACCTCCGGCAATACCTTCCACTGTGATTATGCCCTCGTCCTCAGCTTTGTGAGCCAGCATTGGTCCGTGAATGCAGTCACCGATAGCGTAAATACTGTGAATTTAATTACGGAATTAGTTATTCAAAATCATATTTTATCACAGATACATTGGAGGGATTTAAAGTCGAATGACAGTTCAATTCCGATTTAAATTTCATAGTTACCTAGGCACTACCGTCTGGAATCTATTGTTCACGGGTATTCTTCCCTTTTCGTCCCTCTCGATGCCCAGATCTTCCAGACCTAAGTTTTGCGTGTACGGCCTCCTGCCGACGCACACCAACAACACATCGCACGCCAAGTCCTCCTTTTTGTTGGAGTCCTTTGCGTCCTCAACGGAAACCACGATCTCATTGCCGCGCTTGCTAGCAGCTGTGACTTTCGTTCCCAGTTTAAACTTCAGTCCTTGTTTCGCGAGTATCTTCTGCATGCTTTTACTAACCTCCCCGTCGATGCCCATGCCACCGATCGTCGGCATGAATTCAACGGCCGTTACATCGGAACCCAGTCTGCAAAAATGATAATTTTAGCGAGAGTGCACGAGTTTTTGCGTTGAAAGCGAATTTAGCGCACTACCTTTGCCAAACTGAGCCCAGTTCCAATCCAATGACTCCAGCTCCGATGACAATGAGCCTCTTGGGAACTTCACTGAGCGACAGCGCACCCGTCGAGGACACAACCTGTTTCTCGTCGATCTCGATGCCGGCGAAAGGCGTGACTTCGCTACCGGTCGCTATCAGAATATTCTTCGCGTTGATAGTAGATTCCACCGATCCGTCAGGCTTTAGGGCAGTGACTTGGTTCTTGCCTGTGATCTTTCCATGACCCTTGACCCACTCGACCTTGTTTTTCTTAAACAGACCCGCTATACCGCCGGTCAAGGCTTTGACCACGTTCGTTTTCTGTTCCATGAGCTTTTCGAGGTTCAATTGAACATTCGATACTGCAAAGAGTCATCCGTGTTTTAATATGCGATAACATGACACTTTCCACAAAAGAATTCGTCCAGCTCAGGTTACTCACCGACAACTCCACGGTTCGCTAAATCTCCACTGTGCGCCATGTGATAATAATGTGAATTGTTTAAAAGTGACTTCGACGGAATGCATCCAACATTGAGACACGTGCCACCTAGAGTCGGGTCCTTCTCCACGCATACGGTCTTCATGCCCAATTGCGCGGCTTTAATCGCAGCTACGTATCCACCGGGACCAGACCCGATCACCACTACATCTGCGTCCAGCGTACTGGCGTACCTGCGCTGCTGGGTACTTGTTATGCCAGGTAGAACACGCTTTATGCATGTTGGCTAAAAGGAAACGAAAAGAAAAGAAATTATATTACAGCATTTGCACACATTTGGCAAGGAAAACTGTTGACAATTCAAGAACAAGGAAATATAAATGATATATATATATATATTAATGTAAAATAAATTAATATAAAATATCAATAATGATAAATAGAATTAAAAGTCTATTTAAAAACTCTTATCATTCTGTGCTATCGTTCTGTCATTATTCAGCTACGCCTTCTCATTCAATATTTTTCCTTTTCTCTTCAAAATTTCATTTTGAGTGCAGAAGGTGTTACCGGAGAACAGCTGAAAAGGACAGATTTCGGTGGTACACCAACGTCACCAACACAGAGAAAGCAATGACATAACCAATCCGTGAAGCTGCCATTATGCATAATACAGAAATTCCGAGAATTTCTTAAGAATCTAAAGATACAACTGATGAGATCTTTTCAGGCATGATCATCAAAGATTCTCACTAATTGACTGAAAAAATAACCACGCTGACCTGGCCTGGCGACGAGACGTTACGAAAGAGATGTCCGAGTGAAACAATCGTCCTACGTGAATCATCCGGTCGTCCGTGACTTACCCTGATCGACGTGGTCACCAAGTTCCAAATGCTGGCTTGCATCATACTTTCAAAACACAACCTCGAATCCCCGACGCCGAACGGGAGGGATGCAAAGGGAAAAAGATTCGCGGCAGTGAAACGGAAAGGCCTACCGTATACCGGTTATCGCGACAGGTTCGCCTCGCGGGGGGGTGCCGATAATTCTCACGCGGTCGTTGAATGCACCTAGTTCAAGGATCACGCCGAGAGATGGCGCCAGGGATCCCGTCAAGCGGCTGGCGTTAGTTCATCGATTTTCACCCCGCAAGCTATATAATAATCACCGGCGATAATAATCACCGTTTTGGAACAATCGACGACGAGCAAGTAAAAAAGAAATATCTTATC